GGAATATTCTACTATTAATCATTTTCGTATCAAATAAAAAATATTACTTCCCAAGACAGGTACGGCTTTAATGCAGTAAACAAAGGGTTAAAATGTGCGGTTGCACGACCTATATACTTAGAATTATAAACATAAATTCTATATCGCCAAGAGCAATAAAAATTTTAATAAGGAAATACACATAAATTCTGAGATGACCAATGCATGTGATGTGCCCTTCTTTACAGTGAATATTTATTGATATTAACTAAATATTCTATTGGAAAGATTACATAAATAAAATGTTTAGTTTTATCAATTTCAAATTTAAGATATTATGTTTAAAATTTCAAATTTCAGAGTTTTTTAAATTTTATTTATAAATTAATTAATTAAACATATATTTTATTAATTAAATATATTAATGTCACAATTTCATATAATTTGGTCACAAATTTCATATAATTGGTCACAATTTTCATATGTACAGTATTTTCCGATTCCAATATTTTACTAGGGAAAAATACATAAATAAGAGGTTTAGTTTTACCAATTTTAAACTTAAGATATTATGTATAAAATTTCAAATTTCAGAGTTTTTTAAATTTTATTTATAAATTAATTAATTAAACATATATTTTATTGATTAAATATATTAAGGTCACAATTCCATATAATTTGGTCACAAATTCCATATAATTGGTTACATATTATTAATTGGTCACAAATCACAATTTTTATATGTCACAAATTATTTTACGGATACAATTCAAAAATTCTATAAGTCACAATTTGTTCATCGATCACAAATAAAAAATTTATATGTCACAATTTATTCATCGGTCACAAATCTATCAAATTAATAAGTCACATATTATTTTATTGCTCACAAATCACAAATTTTTTATTGGTCACAATTTAAAAAATTTATAGGTCTCAATTTGTTCATCGTTCACAAATCAAAAATTGAAACGTCACGATTTATTTATAGATCACAAGTCACAAATTATCAAATTATCGATCACAAATTAACAATTTTTTAGGTCACATTGGTCACAATTTATCTTTTTCATTGGTCACAATTTATTTATCGGTCACAGATTAATCAATTTAATGGTCACAAATAACCAAATAATCTGTGACCACCACCAACACTTGTGACTACCACCTCACCACTGCCACCAACAACATGACAACAGAAACCCCATCCCCGGAACCACCACCCCCATCCTACAACCCAAAAAAATCTCCTACCCTACCATCATCGCCACTGACCAACCCCAACAAATTTTCAACTTCAAATCCACTAACACTATCGCTTCGTCACCACAACCACCAACAAAACCATCGTCACCACTGCACCAACATGATCCAACACCGTTGCCCAAACACCAGATCACCTCCGAAAAATCAACAAATCGCCACCCAAAAATCAATAAAATCACCGCCCAACCACCAACAAAACCACAGCGCCTAAACACCAAATCGCAAGCAACAAAATCGCAGCCCAAACAACACCAAAATCGCCATCACCACCACAACCACCAACAAACCACAGCCACCAACAAAATCAAAGAAAATCACCGCCACAGCCGCCTAAAAAACTAACAAATCGGATCCACCAACGCCATCGCTAGAACCAGAATGTCGCGATTGTGTGCGATCGTACTCAGATCAGATCCACCAATTAATCGGTCAAAACCACCACCATCTATGACCGTCGCCACCAACACAAACACCAAACCCACCACCACCAACAGCTTCAACACCACGTGGGGGAGAAAGAGCAAAAATCGGGTGATGGAAGAGAGAGAGCAGTGATGGTATAGGCTGAATCGCATCGTCGTTGTTGAAGAGGAAGGAGAGGAGTTGTCACAGATTGGACGATTCAACTGGCAGATAGAGAGGACATGGAAGAGAGTGGAGTGATAGCAATAGACGAGAAAGCGAGAAGAGAGAAAATGAAGATATGGAGAAAAGAGTTGAAATTGGATTTAGGTCTGGATTAGTTTAAATTTTAAATATTAATAATAATAATATTTAAAATTTTAATTATCATCTGATTTTTGAAATAAAAATTTGTAAATCTGAATTTTGAAATTGAAAGTTGAAAATTTTGGTATGCTGTAATTTCCTCTATTCTATTTCCTTTTAATATTGTTTCTCTCTATAGAAGTTGGGCCCAGGCCCACGGCTAGTAGAAAAACATCAATTGCAGAAAATTTCAGCAAAATGTATTGACGACCTATGAACGGGTATTCTTGGAACTCAGAAAATAAAAATAAAAAAGAAGAAGAAGAGGAAGGTAGTGAATCACAAGAAGAAAAGCAACTTGAATAAAAGAAAGGAAATAGATATTCTTGAGAGTAAAATCAATTAACCTAGAACGCGTGACAATAATTTGAAATCTATTACTATGGCGACACGATCGTAAATCCCGGGCTAATTAATAGTTTATAAATTATTAACTTATTGTTTTAATTTTTGTTATTTATCAATCATTAACATAATTTTTTTTGATATAAAATTAATACAAATGTATTTAAAACCAAATTAATTACACTTAATTAAAATTCCAAATAATTATATTATAAATACAAACTATTAAATTAATTAAGCCCTCGTTTGGTCTCATTAAAATTATAATCAAAATTTCTCTTTCTTTTTATCAAACATACATTTTTCAATAAAATAATATTATACGTAAAACAAAAAAAAAAATTTCTACTTTTATATTACACATTTTTCAAAAAATTATTATTTCAAAAATTATAATTTCAAATATGGAGGGCCAAATGGGGGGCTAAAATACATGAGTTTTTGAAAATCTTACACTTAGGGCGTATTCAGTAGAGATTAAAATCGGATTAAAATTGAAAAATTAGCTGTTATTGTTGACTTTTATTAGACAAGTGAGATCCAATAACTACTATATTTTCAATTTTAATTGAATTTTAAGCTTAACCAAATATGTTCATATTAATATACAAACCTACAAGTCAATACCACTCTGATTAACCGGAGTTTAGAACAAATCAAGCCTAAGCTTAAATAAAGTTACTTAGCCTTCTTCAATAAAGTTATTGTTTGAGTCATATTATTTTTCTCATTCTCATTCTTGTACTCATTTTTAACCACACATTTTTCAATAAAATAATATTTTTCATCACATCAATAACTTTTCCTTTTTTTTCAACCACATATTCCTTATCACATCAACAGTAAAATGCATTCTTAACCTCAGTATAATGCCTTGTTTAGAGTAGCTGGAGGAAAGTACGTAAGAGCAATTAACAAACAAGAAAAAATAATTGGTTATTATCTACAGCAAGAGTTAGGGTTTTATGAATGCCATTGATTATTTCCTGTAAATTCTTCATTCTCATCTTGAGAATATACATGGGCTTAAAATACACACAAAGCAACGAACAAAAGACGCGTAGTTAACGATGATGCAATAATATTCTCTTGAGTGAATAGAAAACAGAATATATTACATACTTAAATGCATTGATTCCTTGTAGTTGGTGGCAATTTTGGAAGGATTGAGAAAGAAAGAAAAGTGAAAGAAGAAAACACAAGTGTATGGATTCATGCGAGGAGGGTTTAGTTTATTACAATAGATCTTATGACAAGGGAATCCATGTTATGTTGTGTCTGTCCGTTTTATTTTATTTTTCCTTCTGAGTTAGTTTTGGAATGAATACAGATAGTGTCAGTGATACTGAATGGGAAAACGTGTTTCTCTATTAGTCCATGCAGCTTTTAGCGAGTCTCTTGAATCTCAAATAGGGAACCTACACTTGTATACAATGCATCTCTAACTTCCGATATTGATCTCTATGTGTGCACGATGTTTCACAATGGTCTCATTTGGGCCCATACCTCAATTTCCCCAACTGGGCTCCATTATTCGGACTGTTTAATTGGGCCTCATTTTTATATCTCAACAAGGTCTTAAGAAATTATGCCCCTATTTGGTCCGGATTAAAATCTGATTTTAATCTAAGTCAAGGTCAAACAATCAATATTAACCACATTTTTCATGGGTCCCACAACTTTTTGACCACACATTTCAAAAACTTCTATCACAATTTACTAAAAATTCAATTTTAATCACCACCAAACACCCTCTACATAGCTTAAACTTAGACTAAGCTAGGGACGAATTTATCCCTTTAAATCATTAATATACTCTTTCACGTACAAGTGGGATTCATTTTCTTCACCAAATTAAGGTGCGACGCATGTTTTGAAGGACAAAGCATTGAACTTGTGGGATCATATGAAACACTCTTTCCAAGCTGAAATCTATATCAAAGCTTTAAAACATCCAAGAATCGTTGTACCCTGGGCATGAAGGGGATGTCCCCTCTCCATTGAGATTATTCTTGCCGTGACATCTCCAAAACAAGATTCAATTTCGTGATCTTAAACTTGAAGTTGAATGGTACAGATCATCTGGTATATATTTGAGAAACTTGGCACTCCAATAGTTCAATAAACTTACAAACATATATAGATATTACAAGGACAACAATGCTAAGTCTTATTCCGAGCGAATTTGAGGTAAGCTGGAATATCTAAGGGAAGATCTAAAACAACTAGCTAGATTTTAGTGGCTACTGCAGATTTACAATAGAAGATGTTATTTCTAGTCTCCTTAACCATGGGTAGTGCCGAGATCAGGAAAAACAGAGATTAATCCCAATTTATTTTTGAGGAAAACAGGCATATATAGAAATTATGGAGTCATCTACATATCTCATGCAGCATCCTTCTCCTACACATATATGAGATCGATATAAACATACTGTGCATGTTTTTCAGGATTTACATATAATTACTATTACACAACGAAAATTCGGCAAGAACTTGGAGGTAGAAAAGTTAATTATAATGATAATATTCATGCGAAGAGACTTTGGCATCTGATGAAACTAAAAGAAGATATGGAGGAGATAAAATTTCAGCTAAAATGAACAAATACAAATTGATTTTCGTGTACCATTTTTCAGGTTTCATTTCACACCAAGCCGTAACTCCAGATCCAATTCCTCCTTCGAGATCGAACACAGTTTATCCATTTCTGATTGGGGATGACATCTATCAAGTACTGGACTAAGTTTGTGGAAGAAAATCAATGGATGTGCATCTATTTTCCTTCTCTTACAACTTTCAACTTCTTCATCGCTGGATGCTTTTGTTTTAGTTGGATTCAAGCTCTCAGACAATTCCACGGACTGATAATCTTCTTTGACCTTATCATTGGATTCAGAAATCTTTGATTTCTTCCCGGACGAGGAAGGAGGGGATAGTGACACCATGTTCTTGTGGTGCTCTTGAATTATTGGAAAAAATGAACCATGGGAAGAAACCCTTTTTTTGGAACTCACTTTCTGATTTTGATCTGAAACCCTAACAGGATCAGAATCAGAATTGACTGAGTTGTAAAGAATGGTATAAATCTGACCAGAATGAGATGGATATTCATGAAAATCAAAAGATTTGCAAGGATTTAGAACTAAGTCATGAGTTTGTGGAACTGAGGACTGCCTTAATCTTGCCTTATCCCTCCTGTGGACATTCATGTGACCACCTAGGGCTTGAGCTGACCTGAATTCTCTTCTACAAAAACTGCAATTATAAGATCTGGGAGGCCATATGCACCCTCCAAGAGGTCCAGATGCATCTTCTGCAAAAGCTTGTTCTTCCCAAGAATCTCCATATGAAGCCACAGTGCCGGCTGCTGGTGCAAGACCATGAGAATGATCGTATGAAGCGGTGGTTGCTGGAGCCGGAACATGAAAACTCAGCTCTCTTTTCCGCTTCGATGCAGCCTCAGCCCATGTCCAATATCCAACTTGCTCCATTCCAAAAAAATCTTAATCTGGTCAAGTCTGCTGATTAGCTGCAAGAAGAGATGGAAATTATGAAAATGAGCAAATTTTGGCTAAGTTAGTAGGGGTGGAAGGTGGGGTGATGGGCACCCTAATTTTGGCTGTTTCGAACATGCAACTAATATTTGTTTATTGTGACCTTATTCTTCAACTATATGTATCATCAGTCTAACATATATATAGTTTTGTAATTTCTTGTAAAGGTGAAGACAAGGATGTTTTGAAAAATCAAATAAGTTGGTCATGAAAAAACCTTGTTATACGGTCTAGGGGTGCTTGAAATTAAGACACAAAACAAAGGTCTGTGATTTCACTGCTAAAAATGTCTTGTAAGATAATTCTAGCATTTCGATCTCTCTTTCGTCTTTTTTAAGTTTTGTGGTATTTCCTCAACTCCTTCGAATAAACATGCATATTGCTCATATGTTACTCGAGTGGAACAACAACAAAAGGGAGGGAGGGGGGGGGGGGGGGG